TGAGTGAATTCGTCCTAAATGATGTAAAAAATTCTGATAGAAGGAGAATTATCCTCACGTATCCTCTCCTATTGACACCCTTGTTCTCTGTAAACCTCCGACTAGAGCACCCATTTGGGGAGAGAACCCACGGACACGTCGTTAATTTTGGAGGTTGGGCCATGGATTATTTTGGTCATGATTTATTTAACAATTGTTTTGGCCTGTCGTTCTTACAGCACGTATTTGAACTAGCTTTTGCATAAATTTTACTCATTTCTGCAGAAGGACGCTCATTTATGAAAATTTTTGGCCATCTCGGTTTGATATTGGAATCTGAAGATAGGCATCGGCATTTCTCCAGTGTTTTTCGTATTAGAAGATTGGCTGCCTTTTCGGGCCTTAGCAACATATTTCGACATGTCAGTACTCTTCTCATGAAGGTACTCACGCTGAAAACAATTTACGGGCTATATAAAGACATATCGTCCGTTCCGGGCTCAAAGGCCGAAAGTTCCGAGTGCTGGAGCTGAAGCTTTGACTTCTCCGGGCGTTACACCTGGAACATTCGGTTTCTGAACCCGGACTGCGGATGGTATGTCTGCAAGTATAGCCCGTAAGTACGGCTCCTACGGCCGGAGTTTTTTTTTCCAGTGCAACTTTCGACGGTCTCGAATTCCCTGTGATGCCAAGCCAGGGCGGTTGACAAATCGACAACCCAGCCTGGAGGACCTCCCTCTTCACCCTCCACCAATCGGTTTTCACCGGTGGTGGTGGATGGTGGAGTGTCCGTGTCGACGTTGAGAGCCCGAGACTAATGACATGCCACGGTCCTCTCATCTCCGACATCCTCCATTATCACTCAAGTTATTTACATGGCTGACCACCGGCAAAAGAATGCAACGGCCTGGCTGTCAAATTTAAGGAAAGATTACGGATACACAAACAAAATTCCAGCCATCGAAAATCAAATACTGCGGTTGCTCGAATTCACGGGGAAAAAATTCGTGTATGGGACCCGAAGTTAGGGCATTACCTGAGGCAAATTTTTGATATTTTTAACATGTTCTGTGTGAATTTATGACCTGTAAACGTGTGTTGTGATTTCTTTTCTAGATTTAAGTTTCTAAATTTAATTCTAGGCGCTATTGTGTAAGCTTTTTGACATCTGTAAGAAACTATTGAATAAAGCTGATTTTACGGAATACAAATATCTATCTGCAGAGGCTAGATATTATTTCGATTTTTTTTTCGGTATAGAAGAATAGTTCTGTGAGGTCCCACTTGAATATTCAGCTCAGGACTGCCGCGCGGAAGGCCGCTTGCACCCAAAAAATGCTCTCTAAACCGATGTGTTACGTAACCCTAACAATAGTCTAGTGAATGGCCTCATGAGTAATGAAGCTGAAACGCACCATTGACATCCTCCCTTGGCCTCTAGACACTTTGTCTTCATTTTTTCCAAAGTGCCGTATGTGGTATTATGAAATGGAACACTGTGGAATGCAAATTATAATGTTGTTATTTCTTCTAAGATGGTATAAGTGCATTCAGAGAAGCGAGAGACTGTAGTGAGCGAAGCCTCGATACCGATTTTAAAAGAAAAGAAATACTTAAGAAAAAAATAATGGAGCTTCGAAGAATGGAAAGAGCCTCAGTTACACAGTAGAATGTAGGGCTTGGAACTTATCACTTAATGAGCGAATGCAAACATTTTCAATAATTCGAAGCTTCTGAAAACAATTCATCAAAAATTTACAGGATTTAAAAGAAAAAAAAAAATCTGAAAATATTATATGGAATTGTTTTTTATCCGGCTAATTTTGACATTTCTCCACTTTAATTTTATTCAACGTGTATTAGTGGTAGAATAATTTTATTTTTACGAGGTGCCTTGACATCGGAGGCCATTCACGCCTCCGAAAAAATTAACATAAGGATGTTTACAAATTGACTGTATACAAGAAAAAAGGGAACCAACCAGGGTTGCAATTTTTCCTGAATATAAAATCTTGAAATTTCATGTGAAATATTTCATGAAATTTCGGACAAATATGAAAAATATTTTTCGAATTTATTGCAAAATTAAATGAAAGGCGACCGATGTTTGCTTGCTGGTGTTTTGCATGTTGCGTGTAGCATACCCAGCCCCTGAAAACATGTTAAACATTTTTCATATTTTTCACGACTTTGTGTTTCATGAAATATTCCACGGAAATGTTCAATATTTCATATTTTTAATATCACCCGTATAACCCTGGAACCGACAGGAAGACGAAGCCAAACTCTAAAGTTGGAAGAGTCCCCGAAGACAAACTTGCCAAATTCAGTGTAACATTCTGTGCCGGTAAACTGAAGAGGCTACCCGAAAATTATTCATAGGGATACCAAAAAGTGTTTTGGATAGAGAGCTCAAAGTTTAACTTTTCAATCCATTTGAAAAATCGCAAATGTATTTGCACATAGTCTTTTTCCGATAAAAATACCCGTTTGTCGATCGATTTTGATGACCCTTTCCGAGCCGACAGCCCTGTTCGAGTGATCCGAGGCTGAACAAAGGATGGGTGCCCAAAAACGAAAGTGAGAGACCAGTGAAAGTAAGAGTAAAAGAGAGGATTAGGTGCACTGACCGCAGCTCAAGGAGCATGCTCAGCTCTCTGCCATGCCAAGGAAAAACGCCGTATGAACATTCGTGAGTTGCCAAATGTCCTCTCAGAAAATATATATTTTTGAAGATACTTAGACATATTTTTCATTGAAATTTTTTTGATATTTTAGAGCAAATTACGTAAAAAATGTTCCGAAGAATTTGAGGAAAAATGTTCCGAAGAATTTGAGGAAAAATGTTCATAGATTTTCCGGAAAATTCATATTAAATTGAAGGAAATTTGGCGACGTCTGAAGGCTCATACGGCGTTCTTCCTCAGCACAGCAACACGCCCAGCCGATTCTTGAGATGAGCTAATGACTTCGGCACGCTTCCTCGATTCGGTTCCAGATCTCATTACTTTCTCGCACTCGCGTCTTACCGCATTTAAAACTCATTTTGTGCCAGTAAAATTAAAGAACCGAAATTATATGTATACAGAGCGAGCCAATCCAAAATAATTCCAAGATGGCTAAGAGGATTCTATTTTTTCCAAAAAATTAATAAATACTAAAATTTCACCCACTTAAAAAATATCAGATCATCACAAGATACACTGTTGAAAATGGAGGAGTGAAATTCGGTACCAAAGACTAAAAGGCGCCCAAAATCCCCGATTTATATGAATTCTAAGTGAAAACAGCACCATAAAAGCGCATGACACTCCGCATAAAGAGTGGATTCCGCTCGTAAGAGTCACTTCGTAAGGAGCAAAGATTCCGCTCCGCATTCATATTACTCAGGATTTTGGGCGCTATTTAGACGCCGGTACAGAATTTCACTCCAAATTTTCTAACCATGTACGTCCAAGATTAAGTTTCAATCGTACAATCTCTCATCCCATCCCATTCCACCTATAATAGTTACCCGACCTATGTCAGCAATTCTTTCGTTCACGATAACTATCGTTAGATTTACGTTAGCTTCTTCAAATTTTGCAATTATGTCCATTTTGGTCTTATGAAGAACTGTATAAATTTTCGGTTAAATCGCATTTACCGTTTACTTATAAACAGTAATTAACGTAAGTGCCCTACTTACGCTGTTTTCCACTAAACTGTTTTTAAGAAAGTTCCATTCCTTGGTTTCCTTGGTAACCTTTGTTTGCTATCAGCTGATGTTTTATTTCAACTTATTTTTTTTCTTTTTTTTCATTTTTTCTTTTTTTTTTTTTAATAAATCATTGCTAGGTTAGTTCTAATTTTTTTGCCAGCATTAATTCTACCTCCCCCCCCCACCCGCAGCTAATTTTTCTAGCTCCATCACCCTCTCCCCACAACTCAATTTTCTATAGATTTTATCATTTTTTTTGTATGGCATGTCTTGCTCCCCTACCACCATTTTTTCGGGGTTGTAGATATTTTAGCGGCCTCTAGACCCGTGACTCCAGTCACGGGCATTTCGCTAGTTTTAATAATAAATAGAGGAGAGACAAAAGTGCTTTTGAAAAAACGTTACTGTCCTCAAGGGCAGAACCATGTCCGGAAAAACGGGCGCTTTAAAATAAAGGTCCCCAGTATCCCCAGGTATCCCAGTTACCGTCTCCAAGGGACGGGGCTCTTTGCAGTCCTGCGACTAATTTGCGCGGGAAGATAAATTAGTTAAAGTCGAGTATTTGACCGGGATTAAAATAATAATTGCACTCAATTGACAATTAGACACATTCTTTAACTAAACAAACATGAACAATGTAGTAATGAATAAAATATCGCACAATTCGTTTTCACTTCTTCTTCTTCTCTCAGTGGGTCCTAGGGGTACAAGTATCATACTTGGTACTGGGAAAAATATTGATTAACTCAATATTTTTCCCAACTTCGTAAGTGGGATTTTTCCCTGGGACAAATCTCGCGAAACAGCTCGTGGAGACAAGGTCTAAGATGACTCTCGACTGCACTTTAGTACATTCTGGGGCTTCTGATTGGCTGGCGATGCAGCTCTAATGCAGCGATGAAGGTTGCATTTCCATGCTAAAGCGCCGACAAAAAGCCTCAGCGGGCTGATTATTGAAATCAATAGACAATGCCATGGGCAATGAGGACAAAGAGGATATGGTAGGATCCTATTGGTGGAAGCGGGTGGCTGGAATGGACAAAGGGGGTAAGTAATAGACTAACTAACGGCAACCGACATGAGACCCGAAACTTAGTCCATCATTTTCCCCCTCGGTCTGTAATAACCACCAGTTGCAAAAAATGGGATCGCTCCATACTCCTTTACGTCATCTTTGTCTATAGCTTTGTCTATCAATTTCAATAATCAGTCCGCAGTATGCTAAAGTAGTCGAACCAATGGGTCACACATTTTTTCAGTATTTTTGAAAAAAAACCTGCATGCAATGACCTCATCGTGTATTCATATTTGCTGTTGGCAGGTTCGAATGGGTAACAAAATGGACTTGCTCCTCCAGAGGTGGAATTTCATGACGCGATCTGGCTTAACTCTGCTGACGATGCTGGTCTGTTGTGCTTCTCAGCTTCAGCCAACCGCGGAGCCAGGTAATAATCATTATCATCATTATCAATCATTATCAGATCTAATGCCTCACAAGATGGATAATCCATGATGTCATGCTTTCTTTCACTATGCTATTTATGGCTCTATGATTAACTCCACAGATTTATGGACATTAGGGTGGCCCACAAAAAATGAATTTCGGAAATTTATAGCTGTAACCCCCTAAATCGGTTACAGCATGTTCAAAAACACGGAAAATGAAATTCGGGGTCAATCGAACAAAATTGACCCGACGTGCAGTTGCCATTTATCCAAGCAAAAATAGCGAATTTTTACTGCTTTTCAGTAATTTTTCGCTCCCCAAAATATAAAGTCGAAGGGGTCATGCTAATGACCCGACGCGCGGTTGCCATTTTCACGCATGAAAATAGCGAATTCTTGACTGTTTTTGATGATTTTTCCCTCTCGATAAATTAACGTTACAGATGCCTAAACTGTAATCAGAGTGTGAAATTAGTAGCTTAGATGCTCCCAATGCTTCCCTTTTGATAAGTTTGACACGTTGCGAGGTTTGCCATTTTTCTGAGCAAAATCGTGAATTTTGACTTATCTCAATATCATCTTTCTGGACCTGAAAAAAAAAAAACTCAGGAGCCATCGAAAAAGTGCGCTAAAACACGGTGATTATACCATGAGTAACTTTTTTGTAAAATTTGGACCCCGTAAAATGTTTTAGTCGGCGTGAAGTTACCACTTGGCAAACAGTGGTTGACGGTAATAGTCAATTTTCATACGTTAGTGCGCCTTCAATTACATATGATACCGTGCAATACTTTCGTGGTGGAATAGTTGCATTGGCGCCTACAAACCTAACAGGGATACTGCATGCATTGCGCAATGAGTGAAGTATCCCTGTTAGGTTTGTAGGCGCCAATGCAACTATTCCACCACGAAAGTATTGCACGGTATCATATGTAATTGAAGGCGCACTAACGTATGAAAATTGACTATTACCGTCAACCACTGTTTGCCAAGTGGTAACTTCACGCCGACTAAAACATTTTACGGGGTCCAAATTTTACAAAAAAGTTACTCATGGTATAATCACCGTGTTTTAGCGCACTTTTTCGATGGCTCCTGAGTTTTTTTTTTTCAGGTCCAGAAAGATGATATTGAGATAAGTCAAAATTCACGATTTTGCTCAGAAAAATGGCAAACCTCGCAACGTGTCAAACTTATCAAAAGGGAAGCATTGGGAGCATCTAAGCTACTAATTTCACACTCTGATTACAGTTTAGGCATCTGTAACGTTAATTTATCGAGAGGGAAAAATCATCAAAAACAGTCAAGAATTCGCTATTTTCATGCGTGAAAATGGCAACCGCGCGTCGGGTCATTAGCATGACCCCTTCGACTTTATATTTTGGGGAGCGAAAAATTACTAAAAAGCAGTAAAAATTCGCTATTTTTGCTTGGATAAATGGCAACTGCGCGTCGGGTTAATTTTGTTCGATTGACCCCAAATTTCATTTTCCGTGTTTTTGAACATGCTGTAACCGATTTAGGGGGTTACGGCTATAAATTTCCGAAATTCATTTTTTGTGGGCCACCCTAATGGACATGGACAAAAGGAAACCCCTGAAGCGCACCTTAAGCGAAGATAGTTGATTGTGAACTCCCATTCAAAGTTATTGGAAAATCGCAAAAACTGCGCCATCCTCTATATGCACTTATTTGGAAAGCATTAGTAAGCAACTACTAATATCGACTTTGAGAGTTTTGAAAAACGACATATTTGCAATAAAAAAAAATAATAGACGGATGAGGCCGTGAGCTATGATACATAATTTATATAATTTACTCACATAGTGGGTTTTTATATATATTATGTATCACAGCGTATTGGCTCATCTTCAATTATTTTTAATATCTAACGCTGTTCAGTCCAGTATGTTTCAATAAAATTGCAATAGTATAGGACTTCTAATATATTGACGGTGTACTTACCAAATCACGTATCTCGTTGGCTGTGTTTCAATGTATCCGCTCTTATATAGCTTTTTTAAGGAGAATAAATTAACGAAATTACTTGGAGTTTTCATAGTGTTTTCTACTCATGGAGAGAAAAAACCACAAAAGTTCTTAAGAATTGTCGCCGAGTAACTTTCCGTTTAAAAAATAAAGTATATAACTGTGGAAGTCTGTAACGCCTCAAACTAAGATACGCAACTTGAGAGTTTCACCGACAATATTTCAGATCATCATAGTAGCGTTTTAACACGAATAAACGTAAAGTGTATCCCAATAATAAACCTAAGAATTGAGTAAAGTCTTATGAGAACAGTGCATATTTTCAATTATCTATTCACCTTCAATCGATAGAGATGGATTTTTTACGCTATGGACTCAATTGATTATTTGCTTATAAATATTGCAACAATTATTCTAACCATTTTTTCTTTCATTGTTTCAGAATTCTACTTCTTACATCCTTGTTCACGATCAGACCCTCGCATTAACGACTGCCTGACATATGCTGCAAATAATCTGGCAATGCATTTTAGAAAAGGTAAGTAAGGCATTACGTATGCTAATCAATAAACAAATCAATCAATAACTTTTAAACAGTGACAATGGCTCGCATTTGAGAAAGTATAATATACCATGTGTTATGTGTTGCACTTTGGACATCACTTCAAATTTTAGGGACGCAACTCTCATAGCATTCATCTGAGCGGTTTGCCTACCCCCTTGTTTGAAGGAAATTCTTACGTCCGTTAAAATCAGAGTTTAAGTGAAGGCTGTCTTTATTTTGTAGGCAACGCATGCCAGCGTCCGAAACATTCCTATCTTTTGTTTTGATTTCCTGTGAACTAACATACCTGCGTAGCATGAAATGCGAAAACTTTTGATTCAGCATAATCACAAAATTCAAAAACCTCCGATTGTTTATGATAAAGGCATTTTAATCAATTTTTAAACCACTTGGGGGAAATTGAAGAATGGAATGAGTTGGGCAGAAAAGTAAATCGTTGAACTGTAATGAAGGAGGGTTGTTTACAAAATCCGTAGGGTCTCAAACACTCCCTACTCTACCTTAAAAAACATTGCACGTCCTTGAATGACGGATTTCTTAAGCCGAACGCAGTATGCTCGGATATCATTTAAAGAGATCAAATTTTTCATTTCCATTAAAAATTCAACTTAGAAACAGTGGAGAATTCAACAATCTCCGAGTTTTTAATGTAATTGATGAAGGTAAATTTTTAGGTTTTCAATTTTTTTTAGAATCCACCTGTGTTTACAATTAAAGTAAAAATAACAGTTTAGAGCCCGGCTATTGACAATTTTGGAACAGTTGGGTGATGTATATGTTACGTGCATATTTCTCGAAACGGCCAGACATTTCAATCTAGATTACACGTATACTCATGACGGATTAAAGCTTCCACTAAAATTATGCTGCAAACAAATTTTATTACAAAACCGGATATTTGTAATAAATTTTGTTCGCCGCACGCCTCCTCAAGCATGTTTAGTCAAAAAAATTGATCTCTCAAAAAATGTTCCTCCATCCAATAGAGTCCACGATTGTAACTATCGTGGGATGTAACGAGGGAAAAATATGTGTTTTAAAGATTTATATCCATCAACGGATTTCTATTCTGCGGCGTGCTTCCATAATTAGACTACATTTTACAATTAGGAACTGGAATTTCTGGTTCAGTTTAAAAACAATGTAAGTACCATTAGTTTCCCTACCATTAGTACCCCTAGTTCCCTACCATTACCCACCCCTATGTGTTTTTACGGATGAGCCGGAAAATGTAGTTCCTGATTGCAAATATAGTCCAATTCCTCGAAAATAGAGCGATGTACGTCTAGAGCAGTGGGAGTTGCTAACTTTGTCAGAGGTTTAACCTAAAAACGAAAGAATTGAACGTAATCTTATCGTTAATCCCCTGAATAGTTGGTCGCCCTCCTGACGTAAGGGTCGGAAGGGCGTAACTACACTCTACGATGAACCCTGTCATCCATATAACTCAATGCTTTCTCGGGTCATCTCAAATTGTATTTACGCCCTTCTGTCAACTGGGTGTATATCTATCAAACAGAACTATGTGCAGGTGAGAAATATGGGGTGTGCTCTAGAAATCTGGCTAAGAAACAATGTTGTCGGTGGGCGTGATTCCTTTTGAAGAATTGGAAGAGCGGGATTTGAAATTGAGCAAAGAGAACTATGTGCCAACTAAATTCCAACCTGCCAACTGCAGAATTCATGAGCCGCGGGCATGGCACTAGAGCGTTGTGGACAGGGCTCATGAGTTAAAGCGGAAGCGGAGGCGGGACAACGGCGGTTCCATCTCCGATGACGTCACTGGCGTTTTATTGTTCTCATTCACTCTTACGGCCAGAGAACTAACGAGCACACCCCATTTTTTCACCTCCACATACAATAGTTCTGTTTGATAGAAATACGTCCAACTAAGCGACGAGTTGATAAAACTACGCGACTCTTACACGGAGGTTGAACACTCGACAAAATTGATAATCCGCCAATGAGATCGCTTCATTTCAGATAAGTCAGAGAATCGTGCCGCTGATTGGTATAGATTAGCCGTGGCATCAGTGTTGAGGCAGGTCGCTTGCGCCCATGAGGTGAACTGGTCCGCTCCAGTCCTGCGTTCCGCGGTGTACTTTGCCGAACTCAGCAGAAAGGGCATATGTGCATGAGGATTCCACTAGAGATATGTCCTTTTTTCTGAGCGCGGCAGTGCTGGAGACTGAAGTGGTGTAAGCGCCGCATCCAATAACCGCAAAATTAATTGCAGCCCACGTAGCGCCGGTTTGGTTTGGTTTGCAAGTTACGTTGTTAAGGCGGGTTTTCCAGGTGATTCGCACTGACTAGCTTTATTTTTAGCGCGTGTCGCAACTCGATGTTTAATATGTTAAGTTGTCTGTGGTACGCTTTGTGAACGCAAAGGAAATCACATGCTTTACCATCTTCATGAGAATTTTCTCTAAAATTAATCGAAACATCCGAGTTGAATTATTTCTGAAGCAAGTGGCATCTTCTCGGTCCCAAAAAAAGCCTGGGTGTCTTAATTGGCGCGTATACGTAGTATACCGCCTTTGCGATCGTTTCGAACCCTGCTCGATACAATAACCGAGTCCCTTAGTTCCTTACCGAAAAGTGACTACCGCGAACTTCTGAGATTTTCCAAAGCGTGTAAAAAGTTTATTTATCCGTCAATAATTATGATTTAAAGTTGTTTCTCATTCTGGGGCTCTCTAGTTTATGTGTAATGAATACCAAGAGTCTACGTTTCTTGGTTTTTTTTAAAAAAACCTTAGAATGGGGCGCGCTGATTTAAAATATGCATATATAAGCGGAAGCAAGCGAACTGATTCGAGGATGGCTGACCAGTTCGGCACTCCTTGAATGAGAATTTCACTCACTCCGTTTTGTTCAAAACGTTGCTTTGACGGATCTCCACACCACTGTTATCCTTTTCAAAAGTTGGTACGCCTTGCTCTGATAGCCAGGGACAGCAGGATAGTGGTAAGTGCAATCTGTGATGAGCCTTGAAACTCATTAGACCATTTGCTAAACGTGGCTCATACAGAAATCCACCTATCCCTCTGTTCCCCACGCTCCTGATCACTGCGTCGGCGTCACGAAGAACAATAGGCCTTGGGCCGCCTTGGGTCCCAGCGCGGCCGAGACCCGTACCCCAATTACTCACGCTTCATTAACCATTTCACCGTCACGCTAGGATTCATCCAATTTTCAAAAAAAATTATTTCGCGTGTATTTAGCATTTTTTTCCTTACTCTCCGTTAAAACACAAATAAAAAGAGACCTCATTCATAAAAATCGGCCGAATAGAAGAGAAGTTACAGTAATCGAAATCCGAAGAAATCAACAAAACCTCGACTTCTCGATACAAAAAATAAAATGAAGGGGGAAAAAAGAAATGTATAAATTACAATTAAATATAATTGACCTCAGAATTTGACAAACAAATCATTTCTATACCTAACGCTGAAAAAACTGGGAGAAATTACAAAAAATTCGCGTCTTGCAAGGGGCTTCTTTGTAAGAATTTTGACCTGAAGACAATGGTCGAATAACAGCAGTACTCCATACAATACACGGTGTGCCTGAACGAGTTAAACATTTTTTATACGTCCAAATCGAAAAATCTTTATATTTTTAACTACAATGTCTCTTGAATCGTTTGAGCCAAAAAAAAAAAAAAAAAAATTCCGTCGAGATTCTGGAACGCAAAGGCGCTTTAAAAGTATTCTGGGGCTATAATAGCTAAATCACCGGTAGTAAATTCGTTATATTATTAAAAAGAAATTGACTCCATAGTTTAATTCCTTAGTTTCTTGAATACGATTATTTTAAGCACTGAAACATTTATACCACCAATTTTAGCCATGGGGTGATTTCCTGAGAGCCGATAATATCACGAATTTCTCATAGAACCCTTCAACGGTGGCTTGCTTTTTTGGCAGCCGATTCGGCCATCGAACCGGAGTTTAAATGGAAGCTGATAATACCCCAAAGCTCTGAGAAAAATTTTGAGATGATTATAAGAACGGTTTGTTGTAAGTAACGAGGAGAGGCGGGCAAAATGGCTAAAATCCGATCTAATTTTTACAGTTTTTCTGTTGAATTAATGTTGCCGCGGGCTTCTGACTGTGTCCACACATAGTTTCTGTTCAGCATATCGATACATAAGTATTTACACTCGTAGAATCTAATTTTCACGTCGGGGAGTCGACATATTTTGATTTTTTCGATTTTATACGGAAAATTGATGGTTTTTCGGGATTGAAATTATTATTGTTTCATGAAAAATAAATGCACCCAAAATGACTATAGCGTATTGATTTTCACACATTTGCACTCACGAAATTGGTTGGTAAATTCAACGAGTGGGTGCATCGACCTGGTATATCAAGTTTCTGCAATTTTTTACGGCAAATCAGTAGATTTTCGGGATGTAGATTGCTTACTTTCAATTCATGAATGAATAAAGCAACGACATGGTTGAACTTCTTTGCATGGAAAGACGTTTAAAATAACAAAATCAAGACGTATTTAATGCAATTGCATTTATATCGATTCAATTTCTTTTCAATAATATAACGGGATTTATACTATCGGTGATTTGGGTATTTTAGCCCCAAAATACCTTTAAATCGACTTTATCTTCTAGGAGTTCGACAGAATTTTTCCTTTCTTCGCTTAAATTATTCCGTAGCACTTTTCTTCAAGAATCTGATAAGATTTTGCTTGAGGCAGATCAAAAAACTTAAATTCGATCGAATAGCTTTCTACATTCACAATACACGGTCTCGTCAAGGTGCGTAGTTGACCTCGCAGTGTTGGATCGTGAATTCTCTTGTTTTGCTGTTTGCCTATTTTGAAATCTCTGTAAATGAAAACTAAAGGGGTTGATATGTGCGAGTTAATGACGCGCCTTATCAACACATTGTGTTGGAGTTCACTGCTTGTTTTTAATTTGGTATTCTCAAAAATTACTTCAGTTTGGGAATAATCGTTGGAAAAGTCGTCACGTAACTCTATAATGTGGTCTAAGTTTATCCAGAAGGCAGGTGCATAGAACCAAATTCTTGTTCAAATGAAAAAGAAAAGAAAAAATAAATTTAATGAATACCTACTTCTTACACTAGAATTCTTCTTTAGATAGTTAAAGCTTTTGTTGTTCTGTAGAAAATTCGGTTGTTTCATTGTCCTTACCACTTTCTCAAAGAGAATTACAGGGCGAGGAGACGTATCTAACTGTACGATTTCGTATTATTTTAGAATTTTTTCGGTGTGCGTATTGCAATGCTGTTAAAATCGTGGCATTATTTACCTATTTGAAGAAAACTAGGAACTCTGATGGGTGTTTCGAAAGCTAAACTTTTGGCACGCAAAGACGAAAGATGCGTCCGCATAAAATTTGATATGTACTATTTAGTTGCATATCGATGACCAAAGTGGGAAACCTCGTATCTCCATTCGTGACATTTCAGACTTCTTGCAGTACTACTTCATTTTATCTTTGCGAAACTCTTCAACGTACTTCTTGAAAATTTACGTGATTTTTCATCTCTGTCAGTGGAATATTCTGTAAAACTTTCCAGCTTTAAAGTTAGCTTTTTTCTCTCGGAAAAAATTAAATAGGCGCGCAAATTTCGAAACGCCGCGATGGAGATATGTGGGCTCGTACTTTGACCATCGGTATTGTAAGTGAGTGCACAAGGGCAAAGGATCTTTTGATTGAAACTTCACTTACCATTTATTATGTATCACCTCAATAGACTTAACATGTATGAAACGTCCAGAGGAATGATGCAAAGCATACTTTTTTACGTATTTATTTTATATTTTGTGAATTCTCCTATTTACTCTCTCTTTCTGGAACTTCGTGTAAAATGATGAACAAAAAAAAAAAAAGGATCCATTGTTAAGACGTGTTCTCCTGTTCCAGGTATTCCTGAGCTGGAAATCACCAACGTCGAACCGATTGTGATCGACGAAATAAACCTCGCCTTAGGGTCAGGACCGGACGGATACAGAGCTACATTCAGAGATATCGAAGCCTTCGGAGTTAGCAATCTTACAGTTACCCAAGTCAGGTTGGTAATCATCACCATTTATATGTCGCGACAACTAAAGTGCGAAACCACGTATCTCCATTTGCGACTTTGCAGATTCTTCATCATACTTCATGGTTTCCTCAAACTAAAAGCTAGTCAACGTAACTCATCTAGATTTTCCTTAATTTTTCTTCTCCATTAGGAACATCTTCTGTAAAAATATCAAGCTATTTTGGATTCAACGAAAAAAAGTGAAGTACATTTAACATTCTGGATGTAAAAGAAGTATGCGAAAACTTATAAATTGCTGAGTTACCCACTGCAGCAGTTACTTTGGCAATGCCAATACGTAAAACTAAGCGCTGTGGCAGGTAATTCAGCAGATTATAAGTTCTCGCACACTTTTTTACATTCAGAATCTTAAATCAACCGCACATTTTTTTCGGTTTTATTTCTCCTCGAAAAAATAAAATAGAGGCGGAATTTTTGAAACACCGCGATGGAGGTACGTGGGTTTGCACTTCATTCATCGATATGTAATCGTTAATGGGGAAAAGAACCTTAATCCAAAACATCAAACATAAATTGAGCTATTCAAACCGTGCCCTACCAGACAATCGCCCGTGATTCGCCTTCATTTGACTGTGTAAGCAAAAAGGGTTCATCCGTGCTTGAATAGTGGTATCCATTTCTAATGTTGCCATGGGCTTTTAATTGAAAATTTCAGGGTTTCAGACGACTAATCCTGACAACACAGGTCTACTAACAACTCTTTGGCGCTCTGTGGCTCCGCAATGTCACTGCTCCCTATTAAAACCACTATATTTTGGAAATCTCGCTCTTTCACATATTTAATACAAAATCACTTTTCTGTTCTTTACTAAGCATTCTTTACAACTTTTCTTAGGGGCACCCCAATCGCCAACCTTTTTAGGAAACATGATATTTGGATGACATTTTGCAAAAAGGACTCACTATCTCTAGCTCCTCTATGAAATCACTTTTCGGAAGAGGGAAACCAATGGCTCATATGTTGCTTCTAAAATAAGCCAGGAATAGTGGCTCCTTATTGCAAAATGTGGTCCATTTGTCTTTCTACGTAAGGGACCATACCATAATATGAGTTGCTTTGTGGAAATGTAATGAGAGATGCTCTGTTCTGCATCCATAGTCTCGTGTATGTCTCATTCCTGAATAAACATTAGCTGATGTACCATTACGCCAGTAATCCACTTTTTTGCCGAATAAATACAATTATAATTACTATGTGTCTTAGGGAGACTTTCTTTAGAAAATAATCCGCTTTTCTCAACAAAAATTCTTGCTACCAGGCATGAAACCCGAGCAGTTTTTTTTTTTTTTTGTAAAATAAGGACGGTGGTAACTTCTTCGTCACATTTATGGGGGCAATTGACCTCTATTTTTCGGAGTAAAACTTTATCAAGGTTTCGTCGAATTTATTGATCGAATAGGGGAAAATTAAAGTACATTTTCATCAAGATTCTACTAATATCGCATTGTTTAAAAGACAAATTTCAACCTTTTTATTAAAACAATTTCACTCCACAAAAAATTTGCTTTTCGACAGTTACCATTGCTTCACATATTTTTGAAATAAATCATTGTCAATAATTTATGCTATTAAAAACATGCTATACTCTAAAATGATTTCAGTTATGATTGTTGTTTTATTTACGTGGTTTTCGTTTTTTCCAGGTCTGATTTGAGCAGTCTTCAGTTCCAGTTAAGTTTTTACATACCTAAAATTTCAGCAAAGGCTCGCTACAGGAGTTCCGGCGTGTTGATAATGGTGCAGGCGACAGGCGGTGGAGACTATTGGGGTGAATACGGTGCGCAAAAATGCCAATGGCAACATTTGATTTCTATTTTATTATAATAAATAGGTAATAAAAGCAAAAAGAGCAGGAATATACAATTGAGTTGTTTGAAACGTTTTGGGGGTTCTATAAGAACTCCATTTTTAATCGAACACACTAATAATTGATATAATAAGGACAAAAGCATGCAAGCTTCGGCTTTCGTCGTTTTTTCTGATGGAAAATCAGATTTTCTGCCTTGGGATAAAATCCCGTAAAACTCCCTGACTCTTTAAAAGTCTGAATATCTCAGTCTTCTCTACCAATTTTGTGTAATTTTAAATATGCTATGCAATGACATGTTTATTTCAATATGACCACCATATGGTCTTGTATTTGGTCCCACTGCTTCCTGGGTTATTTTAAAGCTTCTTCCTTTTCACATCTTGTGCTATTTCGTTGTTTTTATTGCATCTAAGAGAGACTGGATCTTCTATTCCTCCAATACTGTCCAAGAAACGAAGAAACTTGAGTCCCTTATTTTATGTGTGGGCTCTGTATAACGACCCATTGCAAGAACCAGAGAGATCTCCAGAACTTTCTTTTTCATCTCAAACATGACTCATAAGACTCTAACCGGTATTACCTACAATAATTGCTGTGCCAAAATCGTTGAAGGCATTACACAGTCAATTTATGTACAACATGGAATACCCTAATAAAGTCAGCTGCATTCATCAGACTTTATACAGGGTGTCAGTGTGGTTCAAATCTTGATTTTAACGAAATCGAGGAATTAGGCTTAAACTATATTTTCATATGATCCCCGGTAACTACCCGTTCTTAGGTCACTGAGGTGTCACGCGAAAATGTTGACAGAATCTTAACGAAGATTCTTTTGGTTGTCAGAAAATGTTTTGATCTATCTCTTGTATAATTTCGAAAATTTCGTTCGCCGAATATCCTCTAAACCAGCGCCAGGCAGAAGCTTTACTAAAGAATAAGAGTTATTGATATTATAAACCTGCCTTCGAAGTTAGTTTATTCAAATGCTGCAGCCGAAACGGATATGGTTTAAGTGGACTTTAGAGAATCCTGGGCTGATGAATGTCAAATATTCGAAACGAGAGTATATTGAGCCTACTTAATATTCCAAACTTGACATTCTTTGCACTTTTGATGGCTAGAGTCCAAAACCACGTGCCTCAGTCATAACGTTCTATAATTCATTTGCTCAAAAACTCCAATTGTTTTGTTAAAAAAAAAAAAAAAAAAAAAAAAAAAAAAAAAAAAAAACCTTTCCCCACAGTTTCTGCAAATATTTTTGTAGCGATGCAAGTAATGCACAGGAAATTAAGAAAAAAAAAAAACACTCTATAGTTTTCTTAAAAAAATAAAAAAATGAACGACGATTTGCAACGTCGTATACGGAGACATGCATTTTTTACCGATGTTATTCTCCTTAAATGAAACTTAGGAAGGAAAGAAATTCCGAGCTTATCATGCAATTTCAAAATAATGACAACTGAAATCTTCTTAGGTCGTTACATCACGGGCAAAGGGTCAAACTAATGACGATTCGTGTATAATTCTTTTTCTAGAGGGTGTAAAAGCGAAAGTGTACTTCAGAGCATCGGAATACCAAGCTGAGGGACGGTCTTATCTACAAGTGGAGGACTTAAAGATGGATTTCAGCGTCAAGAGCATTCAAATGGGTATACAAAATGTTCACAACGGGAACGCTGTTATAGGTGAGTATGTTTTTTTTTCGCCCGTCTCTCCTGAAAATGTAACTTTTTCTCCCCAGAGAACTCCCTGACCGTGGAATTCGTCCAACTAAATTACAAAAGTTAACTGAAACTACTATCGATGGGTCTCTAATACTTATCGACGGTGAAACTACCAAACCACGTATCTCGGTTTGCGACGTCGCAGACTTCCTGTCATACTTTATTTTTTAAATGAAAAACTACTTAACATCCAGTCTTGAAAAGTTCTGTGATTTTTCCTCTTTGTGCGGAGAAAATTCCGTGAAAATTTCAAGGAATGATATTGATTTGGTCTACTTCAAAAAAATAAAATGTGAGCGTAGATTTTTAAACACCGCAAACGAGATACGTGGTTTGGTAGTTTCACTGTCGTTATATTTCTTTTTGTTGCGAGCTAATGGCCAAATCAGGCGGAGTTCTTTCCAAACATCAGTTTTTTAGTTCATTAATAAAATGTTACGAAAAAATTTGTCAATAATAAACCGTTTGGCATCGCTCTATCGATCTGCATAGTTCCTCGCAGCGCTTCCGAAAGAGTAGAGATACCCACACGATAATTGATGCATAACATTCTTTATGGACGACCCATTAGCGTTACTCCGATTAACAATGTTTGATTGTGTTCGGTGAGATGAAGAGAACCGCATAATATCTTTACCTTGGGCTGCGGTTTTGGCAGGCGAAACGGAACCAAATTTCGCATCTAAAGTCACCTCACACACTCATCATTGACACACCGAGTGACGCACCGCACCGTACAAACCCTGGTGCCAAGTTGGTATATCATACTGCCGTGCTAAGGAAGAACGCCGTATGAACACTCGAGAGTTGCCAAATTTCCTTCGATAAAATGTTCATTTTTAAGGAATATTATGAATATTTTTCCTTGATATGTTCAGACACTTTGATCAAATTATAAACAAAATTTTCTATAAAATTTGTAGAAAAGTATTCAAAAATTTTCCTGAAAATTAGTGATTTGTCAGGAGAAATTTGGCAACGCTTGAAGGCTCATACGGCGTTTTTTCTTAGCACGGCAGTATATAGGTCTGCATTTGCTGTTCGCCTTATCCAGTAGTTAATACAAAATGCAACGGTGCATTGAACTTACTGCACTTTTTTAAAGTAGATTGCTTGTGAAAAAGGGCAAATTTTGATTTATACGCAAATTTTTGTGATGATTTTATGATACTGACTTAAGAATTATTTGGCACTGGGCTCGGTGTCAGACCTGCTCCAAAGTCAAACACTACTCGCCATTTTTACAAGTAGACTCTATTCAATAATCTGTATGAATACAGAACTTTAAATAAGCTATAATTTCGTTTGTAGCTCTCTTTTTTACTCCAATGTATGTATCAATTTCATTTTACCTACACTGAAAAAAAACTCGGTCAAATGAACTGAATGTACAGTGTTTAAAGTCGGCCGTACTGTTCGGCTCATGTAGCGGCTCCCTCGGTTCTAGGCACCGTATTCTCGGCTCATGCAACCGAGATTTTTCTATGAGTAGGCGTGACCTATTGAGAAATCCCCATTTGAAGCTGTAATGGAGAATCGATTTTTAAGGTATTCGTTACGAACAACCTGTTCATTGGTCCTTTTCCATAGGTTTAAATGGCAGACCAATCGATGTATCGCAAAGCACGCCGAACGCATCTAGGGTCGGTTTGGTTTAGAAGCTCGGCTGCATGAACCTAGGACATGGTTCCTGGAACTGAGAGAGCGGTTACAAGAACGATTTACAGCACGGCCGATATTGAACACCGCACTTTCGGTTCATATGACCGAACTTTTTTTCCGGTGTAAAGTGTGATCTCAATTTTAATCTTGCTTATTTGGGTGTTACAGAGGCTGCTTTGAATCTCTTCATTAACTCAAATGCTCAGGATCTGTTACGGGAGATGAAACCGTCCATTAAAAGAAAGCTTTTGGTGACAATGAAAGGATTCATCGACAATTTGTTCTCAAGAATTCCTTACGACAGCTGGATCGTAGATTGAGAAAAATATGCGATGATTACGAAAAAACACAGATCCATGGAAATAGTGCCAAAAATCTCTGTTAAAATAATGAGAATGACTCGCTTAAATCTATTTTTAAACTGAACATTCTTAAAATGTATCAACATTTTCATTAATGGACTTCTCTCTCAAGACCGCGGGTTTTTATAAAATTATATGTACGTGCGCACGATCAGAGTTCACTTTTGCTCACCTCCATGTACTTTCAATGTTTTTAATTTTCCTCGAAAATGACAGGTTCCAATTTATTAATTTTTCGAAAGCATCGGGTGGTTAATAGCTTACTGTAACGGTTGAAAAATGAGAATTTTGCTCATCTCTAAATCCCCGATTAAAATATTCATTCATCGTGGAAGAAAAATTTTGGCAACTGCGCGCTAGTTTTGGATAATTTTTTTAATCAGTTCGAGGGGTGTTGCATGATACTATGCATGCGCTTGACTTTGAAGCGGAGAAAAATATTTCATCTCAGCATACTTTTAAACGATTTTTTCGACCACCGGTAAAATTTGTTTACAACTTTTAAGGCAAAATAAAAATGAAAATGCCTCACGTATCTCCAATGCGGAGTAGATACCTACACGTCACTTAATTTAAGTTTATTTATTAATTTATTGAAGTACTTTTACGTTTTAGGATAAGGATTTACACTAGTGCTATCTCATCACACGGTTTTTGTTTCTTTTGTTGACACAACTTTATGCAGGTATATGTTTGCAATTTGACTGAAATAAAATTTTGAAATAAAACATGAAACGTATTTTATTATGTTTTATTGGTTACGTATAGAAGACCCATTTTGTTTTTCCACACTTATCAACGACCAAAGATCAATGCATCATCAATCATCACTATACTTTAAGGGCTCCGACCCCTTAAAGTTAATATTTTGTCACAGGTCGAGGAGGTTTGACTAGGTCGATTTCCATAATTTTTGCTGCTATCGACAGGTGATGGTCTCTAAATGAGTCCACTTTATTTGATCAACTCACATATACCCGCGGGGTAGGCCTCAGAGGGCGCCAACCGTCTTCTTAGGGTTGGCCTCCGTAGCGGCCATGGGTACATTTCCGTAGACCCCATATTATGTCCATTGAGCTGACGTCATTCTCAACGAACAATACTATGTTTTGCCTAATGATGATATTACGGAGCAAAATCTTGAGCATTCGACTTTAGCGAGCAAAAACTCTTTGGAAAAATTTTTCATTGCAAATAGGTACTAAATTCCAAATTTGTAGGGGGCAATTACCAGAAGAATACTTACTTGAGGACTTCAATATTTTCAATGTACGACAGTCTGGAAAAATTAATTCATTCTCATTTTTTTTTCAGTTTCCGCTAAAAATTTGGAAATTTCTTTCGACTCAAACGGCTTACCTTCGGTAAGAATAGTCTTGCGAATCGGACGTATTTCTACCAAACAGACCTATGTGGAGGTGAGATATATGGGGTGTGCTCGTTAGTTCTCTGGTCGTGTGAGAGTGAATGAGAATAATAAAGCGCCAGTGACGTCAGCGGCATTGATCGAGCGCACCCACGAGGGGGTAATCGTCGTCAGGGCGCTTTAACTCATGAGCCCTGTCCCCAACGCTCTCTTGCCATGCCCACGGCTCATGAGTTCCGCATTCAATTGGCGCATAGGTCTGTTTGATAGAATGTAAAATCCCGCTTTCCCAATTCTTCAAAAGGAATCACGCCCACTTTTACATTGCTTCTTATGCAGCTTTCTAGAGCACACCCCATATTTCTCACCTGCACATAGGTCTGTTTGGTAGAAATACGTCCGATTGATTTTAAGTGTAGTTTTGGCACTCTTCGTCACAGAAAATGTCTTAGGGCCGATGAAAGTTCCTCCTTAGGCAGTTTTTATTCTACCATGAGTTCGACACGCGAGGTGCTAAAATGGACGCATTTCTGTCAAACGGACCTATGTGCATTATGACGTGAGCCCTGGTATGCATGTATTCTTATGGGTCTCAAGGCTCATGCCTTAATGCACATAGGTCCGTTTGATAGAAATACGTCCAAATAATACAGGATCGAAGAAAGACACGAGGCGCAATTGCTTTTGCCCATGAACTCTTGAAAGTGACCTGTCTGAGCTCATTAAAAACCGCTGTAATTAGTGTTCTAGAACGGAAACAATTTTACGATGAAGAGAGCTCAAAAGAAATGAGAATCTCCTCCCATGCCTTGTCGTGTGAAATTTTTTATGCGCTTTTCCTGCTGAAAGTGCGTTGTTGCAAAATTGAACGTCTGAAAATGAGCTGGCACTTTTCCACTTATTTAAGAACAAAGATGAGGTAATAAAAATCTTAACATCTCATAATCGTGAAATTTGAAGTTCATCAGAGTTACATTCAACAGCGTGGAATAAAAAGGCCACATTTTGAAATGAGGCTATTTTACTATTTCTAGGTCATTTCAGAAAGAACATGGAAGTGTCATTATTTTTTAGATGCATATAGGTGTTTTTATGGGCGAGTCAGAAAAATTATTTCCTCATCGCAAAATGTAGTCCAATCGGTATTTTGTGATAGCCGATGCGTAACGGAACTTCAGTTAAAAGAAAACAGAAAAAACTCACATTGAGGTCGCTTTTCCCGTGGAGGTCACAACAAATGTTCAGAAAAAACAGCATTCAAAAATAAATGTATTTTTCCAATATCACAACAGTGCGCAAAAATTAAACATTTTCTTCGGTGCTATGCATAGCTCATGGCTACTACAGTCGTCGTTGTTTTGTGTTAATTACTGAATATATTCTCATGAGAGATATTTCTTAATAGACAAGAATTTAAAAAAAAAAAAAAATTGAGTGCTTGAATCGTAAAGCAAACGGTTAACATTTTATATTGGAGTCAAATCCATGAGCATAACCGAAGGTCGCTCGAAAATTGCACAAGCTCATCCTTGTAGAGGAAAAAATACATCATGGGTAGGATTCGCTTAAGGAGGAGAGAGAGAAGAGAGATAGAAGAGGAAAATGAATGGAAAAGAGGGCTACAGCAGAACGGAATGGACTTGCGGTCGATTTTCCTTGAAGTCTCATCTGCGAAGATGCGAAGCACCACACAGACGTAAAAAGCACTATCATCGATCTATCATCAAAGAATTGGAGGCTTTTTATGGCAAAAGAATCCTTGTGAAAAAGGAATAAATAAAAGGGAACAACGTACACAAGGTTTGAGTGCTTCATAGTTTTCTTTGATTTAGTGCATTTTTACATAGTTCCTTTTATCACAAGTCTACGTCCACTTCTAGGATCCTGTGTACTTAATCAAGTATGAGAATATGACTCTTGACAAAGTAGCAAGCGTTGGCGCCGGATGAAGCGTGAAATTCCCATAATTTTTCAGTTGCTTGAGGCTGACGCAAAAAGATATTTCAACGATAGAAGCGAAGAAAAATATACTTCGACAGAGGCAAATTAGCAGAGAAAATAAAATCAAACTTTTGCGTTTTTTTGCAACTCTCCAACGTTTTGTTTTACTGATCAATTTGATCTACCCTACTTTGTGTTCTTTCGCAGGCAATAAGGTACTTAAGTGAATATACGTATAAGTATATCTTTGTTGTACGAGTGTATTTTCCAAATGTTTAATAGGATCGATGTTTCTTGCATGAAATTTTCATCAGGAAACTTATAAATTAGAATAGACATAAATTTTTACCATATTTGGTGATTCTTTTTCAATACGGACGATATTTTGAATTAATAGATAGCCTGGAGAATTCCGAGAAAAAATAAAGCACGGGTTGAAATCAAGGAGCTTGAATTAAGGTGTGATTGGGCTGATTTTGGACGATGTCGTCCAATCATACACTAAAATCTTAAAGTTTCAGTACTCAAGTCCCTCTTTCATTTCTTCGACGAAAAAAAGGAATTCAATGTTCAAACTGTCAAAGAACATTTTACATGCGAAACAAATTAATTACAGCATCTTTAAAAGAATTCGCTAATTTATTTTTCAATCAAAGAATGAAGTAAAAATCCTTCATTTAAGTATCTTTCTGGAGCTCCTAAAAATAGACAGAGATCATTCTTGTGTCTTAGTGGTAGTAGTTTTGCGGTTTTATTTTCACAGTCATTAAAGTTTTGAGCCAAGCGGAAAATAGACCGGGTTTAAGTCTCTGCACTTGAATGCTCGGCCAATGTCCATGAATTGGGGGCAATTTCCGGAGATGACCAGCAGGAACAGGTTTCCTGAAGGATATTAGCGTATAATTAGGCACACTTAGCGAGTGCGTGGATGGTTTAAACGAAGCGTAGAATGTTCGAGTTTTAACCAATGTAAAAAAATATTCTTAGTTTCTTGGAATTGATGTTCGCAAGTTGTTTTCTTGTTATATTATTTTTGAGCCTTGCCCCGGCGTTTAAATTATAACTGAAGTTTCGCAAATTTTATTAGCGCATTACCCGATCCCGTCACCCATCCAAGAAAATACACCCACTAATGATGAGCTAGTATGGAGTTTTACATTTGTATGTGTTTTTCATTTTAGCTACGGAACATTCAAGGAAAACAGATCTAAAGTTGAATAATGAGACAAGGCATATCATGAACAGAAAAAGTTTATGAGGTGTTGTGGGATTAAAATTGGGTCTTGCATCTTCCCATTTTTGACGTCATGCTCGGAGACTAGCTCATCTGAAAATAATCAGTTGAGATATCAAAAATAAACTTTGGCAAACCTAGGCCTAACGTCAAAGAGAGTACCTGGCAAACCTACACTGAAAAAAAAGTAGCTTGGATCAAGCATGATAATTCTTGAATTTGCCGCCAAGAATTTTCTTCATCTTGCTTTAGGCTGACTTTTTCTTGATTCACGAAAAATAATGCTTGGGTTAAGCAAAAAAGTAGCTTATATTAACCAGCAAAATTCTTGATTTAAGAAGAAATACTTCTTGGCGGCAAATTTAAGATTCTTTTTTTTCCAGTGTAGATTTTCCGGGTATAATCAGAGTTTGCCGGTAATATACGAGGGGCGTACGTACATACGAGGGTACTATCCACTTAGCGACGTTCAAAAGACACCTTTGACAGCTCATTTGTTTCTGTCATGAAAAGATGAATGTTTTCTATAAAAAATTTCCGGTGCTTTCCGTCAAATCGCAAGGAATTTTCACAACAGATTTCCCCCAAAAAAAATTGCAACCGGTATTGAGGGAAAAAATAAATTTTTAAACAAAATGATGCATCGTCGTAATTCAATCAAGCATTTTCTGACCTTTATTCTTTTATACTTACAAAAACATACAGTTTATTTGCGGCTTTAGCCTCGCGCGGAGAGAAACATTTTCCAAATCATCGTAGCTGCGTGTTTTGCATGAAGAAGCTGAGCCTCACCTCAAGTGCATTTCAGCTTCCCACTCGCGGTCAAATGAGGACGATAAAAGATCCGCGGCGTCAATTGGACGTATTTCTATCAAACGGACCTATGTGCATTAAGACATGAGCCTTGAGACCCATAAGAATACATGCATACCAGGGCTCACGTCATAATGCACATAGGTCCGTTTGACAGAAATGCGTCCAATTTTAAATAGGAAGTTGTAGGTTTTACTACTACGATATTGGCACAAGAAGCACCAGCCCTTTGTGAATTGAAAAGACTTAAACCGTTAATGACGTCAGAGAAAGGAAGTTCGATCATCGAATTTAACAAAATGTCCGTTGGGTTGCTCATGGATATTATCGATGATTGATGATACGGTGAAAATCGCGTGTAAGACGGATGATGGTGGGTCC